GTTGCTCGATGGAGGGCATCTTGCTTCAATTCGTAGAGAGCACGCAAACAGGTCTTCACAGAGCTAAGTACACGTCACCACTCAACTATGTACATGTCACCACTGATAGTACCCTTTTTGCTGTCCAAACTGGACAGCAATGTACTGTAATTAAGGTAAGGTTCATGCAAGTATTGGCATATATGGGAGCCCTTCCATCAGTGTTATATAGATCATTCACAAACTTTCTTTCCTAGTGATAACTTGAGAAAGCCTCTTTGTAGACAGCCTGTACTGTCAGCACAGACAGCCTATGCTGTCTGCCAGCTTAGTTAATATTTCGTGGCACTCAAGTGCTGCCCTCTCTAGGCCTACCCAGGTCAGTGGGTCGCTGGCCCACTTGCCCTCACTTCACGGCCGACTGACTTGAGAGGTACAAGTGCTCCTCTCTACGGAGTGTCTATCGGTCATTCCCCTCACTTTGCCTGTTGTGAACTCACTCCTATCCAATTAAAGCCAAACTAGTCCACGGCCGTATCATTGCTACCTACGCTACCTCCATCGGCACTAAACCGTTGTTCAACAGCAAGAACAGCAATAAAACTGGTGACAGCGGAGTCAACGGCATTGTGAGCGTACTCAGGGTGGAGGGTCGACGCCAGCCAACATCATTGGTCAACGCCAGTCAACATCATCGGTCGACGCCAGTCAACATCATCGGTCGATGCCAGTCAACCTCATCTGTCGTCATCCAACGCACCTGCTGGCCTAAAGAGTTATCTGTTACTCCCAGCTTTTTTGATGGGGCCTGAGATCTTTGTCCTAAAATTTTTCCCACAAAATCTGGACATATGCGTCACGGCGTCATCTCCGGCCTTAGCAGTCACGTTTTTCACCTCATCGCCCTCTCTATCACCCCTTTCAACACTCTCCACACGTGACCACGAGGCAGCTCTGGGGTTGGTTTATACCCTAGACTGCGTGTACACACCCGCCTCCTCCTACAACCTTCCCTGCTACGTAACTACGTCCATCTCGCCGTCCGTGTGTGTTGTGTTCCTCCCAGTTTCCTCCAAAAAGTTCTAACCCGGCTTATCCACGTGGGGACCCAGTTGGCTTAGCCCCTAATCCGCCCAGTTCAGCCCCCACGCCGTTTACAGCAGTTCGTGACTCATCATTTATGTCTACAACTACTCAACATCTACATATCCTCAGCCAGTGCAGTTTGTTTTTTTTTGTTTTGCCCAGTTAATTTTTTTTTCCCTGCTGTTACATTCCCAGTTCATCACCAGTTCTTGATTTTCCCAGTGCATAAGTTACAGTAAGACCTCCTTGTATCAGTTCATAGCTTCACCTAAGTTTTTTTAAGCACGTTTATGTAGTGCAGTAAGTGTTTTGTTCTCCGTGTGCTGAAGCCATAGTCATCAGCGCGCCCAGACACAGTGTAAACAAACTACACACCCCGGTGGCTCACGTGGAGATAGCCACATTTTCTCACACCGTTTTGCCTTCACAGAGTTCTTCCGGCTTCCCTGTTCTTCCCAAGTCCATTCTGATAATTTTGCCATCATTGAAGCCCCATAGCAGTGTACAAATGCTACGAGGCGTGTAGTGCTACCAGTACATCACTGAAAGTTTCAGGATGTGAAAATTTGTGTGGGCTGCCTCCAAGTGAGTGCCTACCCTGGCAAACTCTGTTGACACCGAGCTCTGAGGTGGGTACCTCAGCCTCACAAGGACAGATTTTCACAAATGATTGGAATTGCAAGAAACCTCGCCTGCATGCACATATAAAGGACTAACTTACTTGGTGTTGCAGCATATATCCTGATCTTCACTTCCCTAAGCTAGCCTTAGCCCCTTTGGACTCCCCTCAAAACCACGTGCAACCGGGAGCATTAATTCCTGCAATATTCAATCATAATTAGTGTCCTGCCTGCACCTCAGAAATTCCTATATCCAAGAGGGTATGTATCCCCTAGTATAACTATGCAGACTCAGACACTAGCTTCAGACAGCTCTGAGACACTGGTACTTACTGGGCATGCTCTCTCTGTTGCACACCGGGCCCACAGCTAAAACTCAACCCACAATCTCCCAAGACACTGGCCAGAATCTACGAGGAAAAAGGTGGAGGTTTTGTCTTACTGTATGGGCTGATTTGGGGGAGGTCATCTACAGTACATCGAGGTGCCTCTACCAGATTTCCCCAGGTCTCAAAAGTGAAGACACATGGGGGCGCCGTCTGCTGATCACAGCACGTCTTGTCCAGTTGGTGTCTGTCTTAAGAAGGACGCTATTCTGTCTTGTGACCCGCGCCTCGTAATTCAAGCTAGGGCTGCCAGTTCTCCTAGCTAACTTATCCTAGTGTTTGCCTACATTATCGGCCTATTACTACCTATGTTAAGGTCTTAGGTCTACATTATTATTATCTACATTTGCCTTAGTAAACCTAATATTAATATACTATCAGTAAACTACCTACTCCTTCCCTGAAGAGTAAATCTATAAATTAAATACATGCCTACCAAGAATCGCCAACCAGAGAATGCTTTGTTGTTTGGGTGGGGTATAAGGGCCATCCAGCTCAGCCGTCCCGTATGGCCATGCTGGACGTCCTGTGGAACTTTAGGGACCAAATAAATTTCCACATCCTCCCGCCGGCAAAGGTAGGCGCTAAGTCTAAATCAAGTTCACCTTCCGCAAGCCCCCACGGCAGACCCTGGACACGAGTGCCGTCCGGCCACTCTCGTCGAGCAGACTCTGATCTAACCGTCCAGTTTCCCCTGTGTGGACCTCTGGGGGTGTAAACTTGTTGGTTCTGGTGGTCTTAGCACCCTTTCCCTTAACTTTAACATCTTTCGCGTGTCTAGCCTTGACTGAGCGGCTCCGTACTTTCCCACCCAGTGGCCCACATGCCCTGGTAGCCTTTCCTCCCACTGTTACGAGGTTCCCTGGATTTAAAGGCAATTTATCTCCCTCTTTACGTACCCTGTAAAAGTGTTTTCCCAAGGTGGCCGAGCATTCGTCACTACCTACCTGGTTCAGCTTCCCTGGCGGTTCATCGTGTATACTGGTACTCATCACTACTCCCCCAGCTATCATGGGGACAGCTTCTCCTCTATCTGGCGTGGCAGGGAATTCAGGTGGAATCCTGCCACCTATGATGTATCCTACTGGGGATCTGTATAAACCAATTCCTTCCTTAAACGTCCGTCGTGTAGACAGGAAGTCATCTATACGATTGGCTCCCACCAGGATACCTACATTTCTGACTGTGTCAGTGGTAATTCCTGGTCTGCTAGCTTCACGTCAAGGTCTTTCAATCGCTTAGCTGCTGCAGCAAGACCTCTCGCTGTAATTGCCCTGGTAATGTCTCTACCACCAAAGCTGTAATGTCTCTGTGATGTCCACCTAATTTGACTGTGACATCCCCACATCATAAGATTTGGGTGGGACCTGACTTATAGCCCCTCCCAACATCATACTCACTTTCTTCGTGGCCTTCAAATTTAATTTAGCCACCAACTTCTTTGTTTTCAAGGATACTTGTGCTCCTGGGTCAAAGAATAATCGGGTTGCTTCGGACCTGTGCCCATTCACAACCTTTGCCATGACTGTAGGTAGGGCAGGCACCTCCGTGATTCTCACTCGGATTAGAGACTTCACTCCCACTAATCACGCTGGCTACCATTTCAGTCTCGGACTCACTTTCTATCTCTACCTGAGAGATATCCCTACTAGCTTGGGGTTCCCTTAAATTATTGGGACATAGTGCAGTATGGTGCTTACCTTTGCAACAGACTCGACACTCACTGAGCTGGGTGCCACAGTCTCTCGCATAGTGTTCCCCCACAACACTTGAAGCAGAGTCTCAACTCCCTTAGTCTCTGTTGCCTACTGCTCAGTGTTATATACTCCGAGCAACTCGTGCTAGAGTGTTCGCCTTCGCAAACACTCATATTCTGGCATGAGTGCCTCTAAGGCTCTGCTTAGAGGTTCTTACCTTAGACCCTCTTTACCATAGTACACTCCAACGTTAGTCGTACGAGCTTTAGACTGATCTCTTGAGATCTTTGAGTGACTGTCTGGGTTTTTATGTGGCGATGGTGGTGATTCTTCTCTCACACCTATACTCAAATGAGAAACGAGATCTCCCCAACCCCTCAACGATCTGTTGTATCGTGAACCTATTCATCTGATATTTTAAGTGTAACTCATGCACTGTAGTGCCAGCCAGTTTCCTCTGAATCACCTGACTGATGAACCATTCCGACTTACCCCAATCATGAAAAATCTTTAAGACTATTCGTCAAACTCATAACTTCGATTCGGAAACTTCTCTAGGCTCTGACGATCATGGCGACAAGCCTCTAGATCCAACAACCGATAAAGTATAGCTACCTTTATCTCCTCAGTGTTGCCAAACGTGTCCTTTAATTGGTCTTTGGCATGTTGGTAATTGGTGTCGGTGGTTTGGTAATGCCGGACCAAGTCCAAGGCTTTACCCTTGAGCTGTGAACGTAAATATTGTAACTTGACGGCATCTGACAAATCATCTCTGTCATCTATCTGGGCTTTAAACTGATCCCAGAAAGCAATGTACTCTGTTAAGGTTCCATCAAACGTTGGTAAATTCAACTGGGGCAATCTGGGCAACACATTAACAGGCGTGCTGTTGTTCGTGTTCCTTGAAACATTTGCTGCCCCTGCTGTACCGGCCTTCAAAGTCTTATTAACTGCCTGCAGAGTCTCAACTCTGCTTTACACTCTGCCCTTCGTTCGTCATAGTCTGTCCGTGCTACTTCGACTGTAAATTCAGCCTCACCTGTAGTATAGGCCTCTGTCTCATAAAGGATAAATGATCTCTCAAAGGCCTCCAGTCTCCATGTATAGACCAAAGATTGTTTTTATATAATATTAAAGATAATTTATGTTAATGTTTATTTCTGTGTCCCGAACTCTTATATTACGACACCAAATGAAATCCCAATTGATGTTTTTTGTAATACTTTTCCTAGATACAGGTTCGGTGGTTAACATCGTTCGTTCCACTCTCTTCCATGACACTGGCCTTCACGCGGCCATGTTGACAGAGCCGTCTGTCATTCAGACCTTGAGAGGAGTCTCAGGTAGTCCGCTGATGGTTCGTGGTCGTATAACGTTAGAACTCGCGGTCCGGGGTCACAAGCTGTCCGCAAAATTCTTAGTCGTTGATATTGTTTTCCCTGGCAACCTGCTTATAGGGTTTAAAACCATGGCAGACCTTAGGATCCACTTAGATCCAGCTGAGTGGAAAGCAGATTTCAATGGGGTGGATGTGCCCTTCATGGGGCGTGTGCTTAGGATCCACTACGTGCTACTCTGTCTCAGAGTATGCACAATGTCTGGAATCGTTGGAAACCGATGGTTTCCATAGCACATTCTCCCCGGGTCGGTCTTTATCCTGATCAACCTCGCCATCAGCGCTTAGTTACCAGTGAAACTCAGTTTGGGGATGCCAAGTCTAACCTTCACTCTAACTCGAGCACTGTTGTAGAGAACAGCAGTTGTCAAGGCGCAGTATCCCTGTCGGCAGGCGACTCTCTGACTCGTGCCATGGCATCAGCGAGCAGAGTTACCACTTGTACAAAGTATGATATCACTTTGTCAGCTAACTCGCTCACTCCTGTTATGGTGTACGTGAGCAAAGCTTTTGAAGGAGACCATGTGCTGGTTGACAACAACACGTGCCAAATTAAGGGCCTCTCGCTTGAACCATCCTTGCACACAGTGCAACCTGGTAAGTTGCAAGTCCTTGTTGTCAACATGCACAGTCGAGAATTTCCCCTGCGGAAGAATACCTCACTTGTCGATCTTGTCAGATTCCTCTCCCGGTGAGAGTGGAGGGTGAAGTCCCAGCTGACCTCCTTGTAATGCAGTTCTCCAGGCGAGTCTGCTGCTGACTCTTCCGACACCTGGCCAGTGCAGGGAGATGATCTAGCTATGACACATTATCCTGAAGAGGTCCCAAAACTTCTCCAGGTTCTCAATCGTGCACGTTCTGTAGTCACGCTAGATGGTGAGTCGATGGGTTTGACCCCACTGATCTCTCACCGTATTCCACCTAAACAAAGGTACTAAACCCTTTTATGTACCTGTGTATCACCTATCACATGTGCAAAGAGTCTTCGCTGAAGAACTCATTACAAGGATGCTCTGTGATGGAGTTATTGAGAAGTCCATTTCCCCGTGGAATGCTCCTCTCATTCTGGTTCCCAAGAAAGATGGAACCTGGCACCCTGTTATCGATTGCAGGAAACTGAATGTGTGTACCATCCCAGACCACTTTCCGTTGCCAGTTCTGAATGACCTGTTGCAGAACATTGGTGATAATAAGGTCTTTTCAACTCTTGATCTTCTTCAAGGGTTCTGGCAGATCCCCTCGATGACCAGAGCAAAGAGTTGACAGCTTTCTCTACGCCAACAAGTCATTACCAGGTCAGGAGGATGCCCTTCGGCTTGCGCGGAAGCCCAATCATGTTTAGTCATTTGATGACCGACGATTTTCCATACCATCCTAGGTGGCACGCTCAGGGTCTACCTAGATGGTCTCAGTCATGTCGCAAGATGTCCCGACACATGTCGAGAAACTTGACAAGGTATTGGACAAGCTTGCTCAGGCAAACCATAAGGTAAAGCTCTCCAAATGTCATTTCCTCCAGAAGGAAATAAAATTTCTGGGTCACGTTGTGACTCAGAGTGGCATAAAGACAGATGAGTCTAAAATCTCGGCCATGCAGAAATTCCCCAGACCCATTACGGCAGATGCAGTCTGGTCCTTCATAGGCCTGGCAGGTTTCTATCACACCTTTATCGCAGGTTTCTCCACCATTGCTGCACCCCTGACACACTCAAGAAGGATGCCCCTTTTGAGTGGATGTATGATCAAGAACGAGCTTTTGTCACTCTCAAGAACAAGTTAACATCAGCCCCAGTCCTTAGATTCCCTGATTTCACCAAGGCATTTACCTTAATGACTGATGCCAGCAAAGTTGGCATTGGTGCAGTCTTGTCACAGGAATCTAATGGTAAGCAACAGCCTATTGCCTATGCTAGCTGTGTCCTTACTAAAGTGGAAATCAATTACTCAGTGACAGAGCTAGAAGCTTTAGCCATTGTATGGACCTTGAGTCATTTTCGGGATATCTACCATTATCTATCAAGATTTATACGGATCATCTACCTTTATTGGCCCTTTTCGCTAATAAGAACCTCTCAGGAAAGCATGCTCGGTGGTCGCTCACGTTCATTGACTACAACCTTGAAATTTGCTATGTCCCGGGTAAGCAAAATGTTGTAGCTGATGCCCTGTCGAGGCATATAGCATTCGTGAGTGTCGACAACTCGTTCTCTGTTGAGGATCTTGAGACAGCTCAACGGCAGGACCCTGTGTGGTCTCCAGTCCTTCGTTTCCTGACCAAGGAGGACGTTGACTTACAGGTCAAGTCTCCCATTCCACTGAAGGATTTGGTGGTCAACCAAGGAGTACTGTGCCGTGTTGCACAGCTGGTGGACCCAGCAAACCCATATACCAACTGGTGATACCGGAGTCCTGATACCAGCTACTCTAGGTTGATCCACGATGTCCCAGGTGTAGTGCACCCCGGGAAGGACCACACTATAAAATAGGCATGAATGAAATATTTCTGGCCTAAGATGGCAGCGGACATTGCTAAGCATATACACCAGTGTGTTGTTTGCCTACAGCACAAGGGTACCGTTACAGGTCCTAACCCCATTCTAAAGTATCCCATTACAAAGGAGCCCTGGGAGAGAACTTCTGTCGACCTGTTGACGAACTTCTCGACCTCGGAGAAGGGAAATAAGCACCTGCTTGTAATGGTAGATAACTTTACATGGTACAGTGAATTAGTACCCATTCCTGATTAAACTGCCCAGACTGTTGCTAATGCTTTCCGTGAGCATGTCGTTCTCCGTCGTACCTGCCCACGTGTCCTTCTGTCAGACAATGGGTCTGAGTTCATAAACGCCATAATGCAGGATCTTTGCTTCAGATTTAACATTCACCAAGCGCCAGTTAGCTCCACGCCACCCTGCGAGTAATCTTGCTGAACGTACAAATCGCAAAGTCCTGGAGGTGCTCAGGGTAACCGTTAACCCAAGTTGTACTACATGGGATGAGGCTATCCCAGATATTCAGTGTACATTAAACTCCTCCCTCAACAGCTCAATCGGTGAGACACCTCATTTCGCTTTGTATGGTTATGACAAGCGTTTACCGTACGAAATTCTGTTTGCTCCAAATCAACCTACTTAGTACACTGATAACCCCAGTGTAGTAAAGATGCGGACCACGCAGCTTGTTTTCCAGCGGGTACGAGAGAACCTTATGAAAGCTACTGATAGGCTCATGTCTGAGTGCAATGCCCTCGCCAAGGAAAGCAAAGTGGAACCAGGTTGCAAAGTTATGTTGCTCAACCCGGCGCAGACCCCAGGTATGCACAAACATGTCCCTAAATTCGTGGGTCCTTACCGTATCTTCCGACAGCTCCATGGCAATAAGTTCGAGGTGAGGGAGATTGCTACTGGAACTATCAAAGAAGCCCACCTTGATCACATGAAGCATGTGGACCATGTGCAAGCCGAAGCAGAGCTGGAGTCGCGTGCATTGCAACGCCACAATCAGACCAACACTTGGGACAACCCGTCTGATTCTTCTCCCACTAATACTGTTACTGATGAGAGCCCAGTAAGGCTCCATACTTATGGCCTGCGACCCAGGACAACAGTACATTTCTGTGACATTGACGTACCTACTAACTTGTCTGACTCCTACGCTAGCTATGCTAATTGTTTGCTTGCAGAAATGGGTATAAATGCACACACATTGTATAGTTAGTTGATAACGGAGTCAGGGTGGACAACATCATGTAAATATGTAAATAATTTTAAATGGGTACCCAGAGTATAATGAATTCCATGGACATAGTATCATTGTGGGTATGTGCACCCAGTGTCGCTTTTAAAGCCTGTATTATGGTCAGGGCAGTGCTGCCCTTCAAGTCATATGTCACACCTTAGGAAATGCTACTGTCAGTCATTGTTTGCAAATGTGAGGGTGCAACAGCATTCGTAGACGAATAGTCAAGCCTGATGTTCAGCTCTGCGGACAACCTGTATATAGAAGATTTTAGCTCCAGTGCTGATGTCTCCAGGCCTCTCCTCAATGAAGCTGTGCGGGCAATCCAGTTTTTCTTCCTCAGGATGGGAGAGTTTTTTTTTTTTTTTTTTTTTTTTTTTTTTGCCTGTTGCATTTTATGTCCATTTTTTTTATTTACAAGTGAGCTAAACCCAGTTCCTCCCTGGGTAGCTAGTATAAGTAATTCTTTTGCACCTACTAGCCCACCAGTATTTTCGGACACGAGGTGTGTGATTGAGCAAATGTAGACAGCCTGTACTGTCAACACAGACAGCCTATGCTGTCTGCCAGCTTAGTTCATATTTTGCAGCAAATCAAGTGCTGCCCTCTCTAGGCCTACCCAGGTCAGTGGGTTGCTGGGCTACTCACTCTCACTTCACGGCCGACTGACTCGAGAGGTACAAATGCTCCCTCCACGGACTGGCTATCGGTCATTCCCTCACTTTGCCCATTGTGTATACTCACTCCTATCCAATTAAAGCCAAACTAGTCCACGGCTTTTTCACTGTTACCTACGCTACCTCCATCAGCACTAAATCGTTGTTCAACAGCAAGAACAGCAATAACATTGATCGGCTTCAACTTTTAGTGACTGGTTTATCAAATTTGTAAGAAGATAAAATTTATTACTGGAGTGTATAGGTGCCACTTTACCAAACTTGCTTTTAAAAGTAGCTGAGGTCAGTGGTCCAGTATGCTGAGGTCAGTGATCACCTGCGATCATAACTGTCCTAAGCTCTCTGGGAGTTAGCATAGGGTGTTACCAAGCACCATGGCTTGTTGTAGTGCTTTAGAATCTCAGGTTCAGGTGTTGGAGAAGGTTCTACTTCTTCAGGAGGAAAATAGAAGGCTGAATCTTCACCTAGATGAGTTTGGGAGTGAGTGTGAGAA